TGTAATTCCTTCCGTGCCTTCTCATTCCCGAGCTATGTCCCCTGTCAAAGTTTCACCACTTTCCAAGAAGGTGTAGTATTTTACATTTCAGCGAACCACTATTTACTGATGGTCACCCAGACGAGCAGCTTGCTGACTCGAAGAGTCCTGGAATTGAGGCTGCCACTCAGTGGACGAGCACTGACCGTGGCATGAGTCCCGACGCTGTCAAACGCTTTCTCATATAGAAGAAGGTAAGGACAAGAAGTAGGCATACTCTTGGCAAATTTCAATAATCCTCAAAACTTCCAAGATGTGATCCAAACAGCTAACTCCCTACGGAATACAGCTTGTTTTACATGCGAGCTTTATCCAGTGTCCTTAATAAACGAGTGAGAATAATCTTCGTGAAGAGCTTGGAAAGCACGCTCAGCAGGCATATTGGACAGTAGTTCCGAAAACCCTCTCCATCTCCCTTTTTATCAAGGAAAGTTATTTGGGAAATTCTCACTTACTGGGTATCCTTTCCTTTTATAAGTAATAATTTAGGTGAGTCGCAAGTATTTTGTGCAGGCAGTGCAGCTCGTAAGAGGTTGGATGAAACGTGGCCCAGTCGCGAAGCCATGGCAGCCTTCGTGTTCTGGAATGCGGAGCGTACTTTAACAAAATCCTTGGTGGTACTTCTCCGGTGGGGATAACGAGGTCTGGGTGTTGATAAGCAAAAAGATTGGTTTTGAATCTCTTTGTGATCGATTACATCTTCCATCGGGGAGAAGTGTGAGACCGGTCTTCGTTCAGTAAAGGTTAGCGGAATACGGTAGTCAAGAACGTGGCGGTTTTCTTCAAACTTCTCCTCCCTTGTGCCGCTTCCAAATTTTCGATTGCTTGTGCAAAGCTGTTCTGCAATTGATAATCGCTCGAGACCTTGAGAAGCAACAACCAGATGGTGGGTCCAAAACTCCAAGAACTGTTCGATTCGCCGTTCTCCTTGCGTGCTATCGCGTAGCAGAGACGTGGCCTGATATTGGCTACGTCGAAGGCTCTCCGAACGATCCACAGAACGCTGGAATGATGTCTTCTGCAGTACGACCCACGCACTCAACATGCGAACTTTGCAAAGATATGAGATCAACGTCCCATCTTTGTGATCCAGCGGATATGTATCTAACAAAACATCGATGCGCTAGTCATATAATGAGAAGAACAAACAGTTATAACCCTGAAATGGTTTCCGATCAGATGGAACGGTTCGATGCACGGATGGACCAGCTGAATTCCCAACCGATAACGGTTAGTGAGTCTGGACCTCGCGAACGTCGCCACAGCATTTCAGTACCAACATCGTGGGCGACACTAGCGAGAGGCAGAAACGGATATGAACGATGTTGGAGCCTGCACAACGAGTAAAGTCAGGCCGTCTAAGTATCTAATCAAGATTCTTTTGAGTACCATGAATAAGTACACTTGTTTGTAAAAGAGGCAACAAAAAACATTAATTTCAAGATAAAGGCCATTCAAGGATCGTGAAAGTTCACACAATCACGACCGCTTCGCGCGTAGCATTAGCTGCC